GCTCCCGCTTTAATTTCCCTGAGCGCGTTAGACAGACTGATGGCTCTGTGTTCGGGAGCATTGATGCAATAACCTATCTAGATAGGTAATAAAATTGAATATACCTTATAACATGCATTTTTATGTAGCCAGCTCTCCGTCTACTAGGAAGGATCTACAGTGGCTCTATACAAGACAGTGGCGATAATAGCGACTAAACTCCGCCCATCCGCCATGTTGCATCCAATGTCAAATTAAAAGTAACTTTTATAAAAACTAAATTAAGGACCAGAGTATTTTTCTTATAAATTTTACTCACAGATTTTAAGCAAATAACTCCCTTAGAAAGTGATTTTAAATAATAAAATAATGTACTTGTGCGATAGGGGAGGATAAATATATAATAGTAGCAACTATTGGTTTTTATTTTCCAGGCAAGTAAAATTAAGCTTACCTACATTACACAATGAAATTTATTGAGTTCACATTACAAAAATAAATACTTAATGCTAGTGATAGTATTTGTTACAATAAATGTCCAGCAACACTTTTATTTGCAAGCTTTTTTATGCTTTTTGGTATTTTTTCGAAGCTGTTTTATCGAAACATAATAAATCTTTTAACAATATTATGTTTGATCTGATGACAATTTGATAGATCTAAATTTAAACCAGACATTTCTTTTAAGAAAAACTCTTTTAAAATTATGTTTTGTGAAGATACAATCGCAAAAAATGTTGTAAAACACTTTCCATCTGCAAGAAGAAACAAAATACCACTTCATTGCAAAAAAGAGTGAATGTTCTTTAAATCTCTTAAGTACGCTAAATTTTGAAAATGTTTTGTAAATCGGCGTGTACAGTTTGTACAATTTTTGATGTTTTAACGATACTTTAAGCAATACTGTTAATGAATAGGTGTTACAAACGGATATGGTATGTAAAAAATCCAAAAATAAGTGCAGTTTACTTAATAAACATATGTCCTAAAGCGGCTCATTTTCGAGATACAGGGCGTTGAAATTTAAAAATAATAAATTATTTTTTCCTGTAGCTCCGGTATTAGTTAATATTTCTTTATCAGACTCAACAGACAGATTTACTAGCTTAAAGGATGCATAAATATGGCAGAAACCATTTATTGGCTTCTTCTAGTGGCGTGCGACAGGTGTCGTTTCACCTTTTATCCCCCCTAAATTGTGCGGCAATGTACAAATATTAGTTTTTCGTATGTTTTTGAATTTGCTAGTGTTTTTTACGTAAATAATGTATACTTGTTAGACTTCCATAAAATGAGTAATTATCAAGTTATTAACATTTACATTACTGAGGTCACCTTATGCTCCAAAAACCAAAAATTTTTAAAAAGTGACATGTTGAGTAAATTTTTCACGAAATTGTTTAGTAAATGCATACATGTGTCGCTTTTTCTTTTTGAGATACAAAACATTCAAGGTTTCCGTATTCCTCAAGCAAGTTTAAAATGTTGGAAAAAAAACATTTGCCGTTGACATTACTATGTATTTTAATGTCAAATTATTTTCGGTTGTGAAACGAGGCAGTTTTTAATTATTATTGTTATTTTAGTGTAAAGTTTAGTTTGTAAGTTTTAATTATTAGATAGATATCTTTATCCATTCGTTTAAAACATTCATACATCATGAATGAATATACTTCTGCTGATTATGCAAACATGATATTAATGTACGGTCAAGCGCGTTGTAATGGCAGGGCTGCCCGTCGGTTATACTCAATCCGATTTCCAAATCGTCCAACCCCTTCACATAAGATATTTGGAAGAGTGTTTCGCAGGTTGCAGGAAACAGGAACTTTTACAACAAATAGGGTTAACTGCGGGGTAAGGAGAAACCGCAGAACGATAAGGTTCGAAGAAGAAGTTCTTAATAGGATAGAAGAAAACCAATCCACCAGCAGTCGAAGTATTGCTCAGAATATGCATGTAAACCATGTAAGCGTTTGGCAAGTTTTACGCGAGCAACAGCTTCACGCTTATCATATACAAAAGGTTCAAGCTTTAACTCCCGCCGACTTTCAGCCACGACTAAACTTTTGCCATTGGTTTCTTCAACAGTGTCAGTTGCAAGCAAATTTTCCGCGGTTTGTGCTTTTTACAGACGAAGCATCCTTCACACGAGAAGGGATCTTTAATTCTCGCAACAACCATGTCTGGGCTGAAGAAAACCCTCACACCATTCGCTCCACTAGATTTCAGCAGAAGTTTGGCGTCAATGTCTGGGCTGGTATAATTGACGGGCGCTTAATTGGTCCGCACCTTCTTCCAAATCGTCTTACAGGTCCTATTTATTTAACGTTCCTACAACAAGTACTTCCAGAATTATTAGAAAATGTGCCATTGAACATTCGACAGGAAATGTGGCTGCAGCATGATGGTGCGCCAGCGCACTTTTCGCTTGTTGTCCGAGATCACCTTAATCAACAATTCGGTGTAAGATGGATTGGCCGTGGAGGACCTATGGCGTGGCCACCACGTTCCCCAGACATGACCCCGCTTGACTTTTATTTGTGGGGCCATATGAAGAGTCTAGTTTATGAAACTCCTGTTGAGTCAGAAGAAGATTTGGTAGCACGCATTCTAGCTGCAGCGCAGGAGATCGAAACGACGCCTGGCACTTTTGACCGAATGTACACAAATATGCTTCGAAGAATTAACGCTTGTATCGCTACTGGTGGCCGTAATTTTGAGCATTTACTGTAATTTTTTTGTGCAAAATAAAAATACCTTTTAAACAACTTTAACTTTTTGTATCTCGAAAACTAGCATAGCATAGAAAAACATAGTTTTTGGAGCATAAGGTGACCTCAGTAATGTAAATGTTAATAACTTGATAATACTCATTTTATGGAAGTCTAACAAGTATACATTATTTACGTAAAAAATACTAGCAAATTCAAAAACATACGAAAAACTAATATTTGTACAGTGCCGCACAATTTAGGGGGGATAAAAGGTGAAACGACACCTATCGCACGCCACTAGAAGAAGCCAATAAATGGTTTCTGCCATATTTATGCATCCTTTAAGCTAGTAAATCTGTCTGTTGAGTTTGATAAAGAAATATTAACTAATACCGGAGCTACAGGAAAAAATAGTTTATTATTTTTAAATTTCAACGCCCTGTATCTCGAAAATGAGCCGCTTTAGGACATATGTTTATTAAGTAAACTGCACTTATTTTTGGATTTTTTACATACCATATCCGTTTGTAACACCTATTCATTAACACCCTGTATATCCGACACATTATAAAGAGAATTTAATTCACAAAACAAATTTTGGTTCTTCTATGTTAGCAGGAACCTTAACTTCCTAAGTAGGTGTTATATTTTTTGTTATGGTGTCTAAAAGACCTGAAAGAAATTCACGGTCGTCGTCCTTATAGGAGCTTCTGCAAACATTATAACTATCCCTTAGCACAGAATACCCGATATAGTATCACTAATAATCACCAAAATTAAAATAAAACAATACAAATATTGAATAACACCATAAGAACGCTTCTGACACATGACATCACAGATGAGTTTGGCACTGGATGCAACATGACAGCTAAAATCACGTGGACCAATTAAAAATGATACACTCTATTGTCACCACTGTCTTGTATAGAGTCACTAGTCACTGTAGGAGGATCTACAGTGGAGAGTAGACGCTGTTGTATATTTGATGGCCTATAAATCAGTTCCACATTAACTTCTTACATAAGAATTTATTGTCCATATTGTAGTTACAGAATAATAAAAAGAAATAATTGCTGATTATGTATCAGTAATTATAAAAAAATAAGTTAATTTCGCGACTAAGTTAATAAAATCGTATGAAAATATGTCAGCCAGTCAGTGTTACCTACCTTGCCACGTCTAAAATACATTTTTGAAGTTAAATTTTAAAATATGTATATTCTTATTAATAAAGTTGTATATCTTATAAAAAAATACTGGTATCGCCATCGTTTTGCGTGGTAGCAGATGACCGTCTTAAGTAATAAAAATACTGTGTCTAAATCCAAGCATATATAAAAATACTTGTAAAATCGGTTTTATAAGTTCTTAAAACTTTTCTAAAATAATATTTATAATGTTCAAAAAGAATTAGAATAATCCCAAATATACATTTTTTAAATATGTATTTTATAATTTTTCTGTATAAATTCTTGTCATCACAAAATTTAAAAAACGAAGCTTTATTTCGCGGGGCCCGCTTTCGCACCCAGACCAGCTGCCGATTCTGGGTATCCCAGTCTCAAGCGTCTTCCATCTGTGATTTGTGCCTGTCATATCATGACCGCATGAAAACCATGATCCAGGGACTTGGGTTAGTATACGCGAAATAAAGCTTCATTTGGTATGTTATTTTTAAAATTGACAGAGAATCTACTGGAGATGATGAAACTAGGAGCCAATAAAGATATAGACTATGGTCCTTGGATCAAACAGTCGAACTACTGAGTAAAGTCGTTATTGGAGTTATGGGGTTAGGGGGTTGGGGGATTATAGGGTTAAATATATTCTGTTTATAGGGCTTTGATATATACTGACTAACGTGGTTATTGGTGTTATCGGTTATGGGGTTAGGAGGTTTGAAGTTGATTGTATAGGATTATAGGGTTATTGTGAGTGCACAGCTCCCTTTACAGGACCGTTGTGTGTAGGCTTGGGTTAATGGGGTGATATGGGGCTATCGGTAAAACCTGACGTAATAGAGTTAAATGGATCACGGATTCGGATTCAGCGACCCGTCTGACCTTCAGACTCTAAAAGCATGTTTTTGGCTGTGTTATTTATTTTAGACATACTTATATAATTTCAATTACATTAGCATTACTTAACAACTTAAAATTTAATTTGGATACTAGTTGTATTAAGATGATCAGAATACATATATCTTACATAGATTATATGTTTTGGTAGATCGTTTCCTTTGTAGTGGACCCTTAATTATTTACAAAAGAAGAAAATAATGTTAAAATGCTGATACCGACATTTGTTATTTATTCACACAAAACAATTTTCATCATAACAAAACTGTAGTTTTAAATACCTTCGATATTGGCGATGGTTTAATGAACATTTAAACGACGATAATTTCTTAGATCTGACGTTTTATTCCGATGAGACATGGGCATCTGGTTACGTAAATAGTCAGAGTTATAGAACTTGAGCTGCAGAAAATCCTCATAATTCTATTAAAACATCGTTAAATCCTCAGAAGATAGGTATCTGGATAGCAGTTTCAAGAAGACGGATAATAGTCCCAATTTTTTTCTGAAAAGTAATAAATGGATAAAAATACTCTAACATTTTGCAACAAGAGTTGTAATTAATAGCACAGCACATGCTGCAGCAGAAACTATCAGATATCTTCATGAATTTAATAGTGATAAATTGATTACTAAGATATGTGACCTGCTCAAAGTCCTGACCTTATAACGTTAGATTTTTATCTCTTTGGCCATATAAAAAATAAGAATTAAAAATTCTCTCCACATATTTGAACAGTTGAACAATTGAAGCTAAAATAAACATTATAACACCAAAATCAACTTGAACGCAATTTTGAGTGCATAAAATTTTTGTTTAAAAAACGAAGGTGGTAATTTTGAACATCTATTAAGTATAATTATTATGATTTTATTAGTTGATTGAACAACTTTGTGTTTATGTTAGCAGTGTATGATAAATTATAATGCAAGTAGATTAGAAAAGAGCCTATATTTTTAAAAGAACAATTTTTCAATCAACAAATACTTTTTTAATATAGATTGGGATGAAAATTCAAAATATCTTAGAGCAGTACGATTATTTTGTAAGTAAAAATGTAAAGAATGATTTGTTTCTATTGAAAAAAGAAACACATTTTGCAAATTAAAGTTCAATCTTTGTAAAGTAATATAATATACTGTACTGTCTGTCTTTAGGGAATTTTGTGTTCATTGACTCCATTGTAAATTTGGTTGCCTAACAGTCGCGTACGGATATATGAGAGCCCTAGTATCAAAGGCGGCAATCTCCACCATTTCCACTTTTTGTTAAAACGCAAAAAACTACTACACTCTTATTACTGCTTAATTCAAAGGAAGCATAGTTTCCAATGAAAGAAAATGCTAAACTACATTAGATTTTAAGGTTAATGTACCTAAATTTTTTATATTTTCTGAAAAAATGTACAAAAATAAATGGAGAATGCCGTGTTTGATACCAACAGTTGGATTTTGCAAGATTTGTTACCAAAGGTTGCACTAAAATGAGTTGTAAAATAAATACCAAGTATTTTGGAATGGACTTACAGACAAAAGAATAAAATATTAAAATTAATTCAACAAAACGTATAATCAAAAATAAAAAAAAACGAACTAAATAATAATAAATTCCTAACTATCTGAAACAGCATGTCGTGTCACGTCACGTCATATGTTCGCTGTGAGCCATCTGATTGGCCAAAACGGATATTGCCGACTCTGATTCTAAGCGGGTAATGGAGATTGCCGGATTTGATTCTCAGGTGATGTTTTAATGCAGTTTTGTAATGGGATAAAGCCGCTTTTGATAATCGCAAACCATATATTTAGACAGAGCGCGAAAACCCGAAAAATATCATGTATTTAACTCGATTTCGTCAAAAAGTGGAGATTGCCGCCTTTGATACTAGGGCCCTCATATATGAAGGCACTGTTTTAACATTAACAGAAAAAAAAAGATGTATACATTAAACATTTTGAAAAAAAAGGATTAACATTTTGAAACGATAAAAACTTTTGGACACACCTTGTTGGATTATCTATTTTCTATCTAAAAATATATGTATAGGTAACTTTTGTATGCCCAGATTTCAGGTATCGAAGAACATCGTTTGACTACATTTGATAAGATTTTTTTTATTTGTATAAATTATAGTTAAAATAGAATCTAAATTGTTACAGCTATTAAAAAATACATTAATAACTCTAGTAAAAAGGACATATATTTTTTAATACAGAAGAACAATTAGGTATTATCGTACAAGTCATGTGCAAACGCTTTTGACATTGTCGTTTCAAAAGGTCCTCGTTTTTTCTAATTGTTTGATGTTTATACATATTTTTTTGTTAATGTTTATAATTGTAAACGAGAAGAAAAGCTACCTGATGAAACAATTCCAAGTAAAATGTGCAACTGTTTCTTACGTGATTGGTCTTTGTCAAGGATGATAATAGGATAGCAGAAATACATGATGTTCCTTTGAATGTGTGAATAATTTAACAGTTTCAGTAGATATGTGTTTGTATTAATTACATCAGATATATCATTTTTAGTTTTTATTTTGGATAATTGTTTATTACTAGCTGTTTACTAACCATTAACGTGGTATAATTCAATACTAGTTGGGGTATATAGACCATAAAGTTGGTAGTTTTCCACAATATCAGCAGTTAGTAATCTTGTCTGTGGGGTTGATTACGTTTTACATACCTATCAGATTTCTGGTATCGAAGAACATTGACTTCATTTGATAAGATTTTTTTGATACATTTTAATTTGTTTTAATTTAAAATAAAGTAAAAAAAAATATTATCTAATATTAAAACCATTTGGTAATACGTAAGTAGATACATATTTAGATAATGACTGAACTGTTCAGTAGAGTATCACCCCTCCCCTCCTGCGCTAGCCTAAGGGCCACCTTAGCAAAGCGCATCCCAGGTTGCATAGCCGCACTACCCTACCCAACCATACCACACATAAACATGACACCACCCCCGGGGTTTACACAGACGAGCCGGCGAAGCAAGAAGAGCGCCAGAAGAAAGGGCCCTAGCCGGCGGGGCCCAGCCAGGACAAAAGGAGGTCCCACAAAGCGCCTACACCGGCCGCACTTGCGGTCGGGGTAGACGACGGATGGGGCCCACCTACGAAGGCTGTCCAGGCCTACACTAGATGAGGCAGGATAAAGAGGGATAATCCCCCTCGATCCCAAATCATTGAGGCCAATTTCTAGCCATGGAATAATGGCGCGAGTAGAGTATCATCCACTCATTGTTTTTTTCCGGAAAATTGTAATTATGGAACATTGAAAACATCTCTGTATGGGATAAGGGTAGATATTTGCATTTTAAGTTACTATTCATGCTGCAAGTTAATAGGTATTCTAAAAATTTAAATATCTCCAAAACGGTTAAATTTAGATATAGAAGAAAATATGCTTAAAAAATAACTGTTATCAACGTTTAAAATAAAGAAGTTGGTGACAATTTCTGATATAGATATAAATATGTAATAATAATTTCGTAGTTTTTTGAGGTGTTTTTTGATTTTTATACCAAAAAAGTGCTCAAAAAATCGCCTTTCAATATGCAAATTTGTGAGAGGTTCTAGAGTGTAATTTTTTTATTTATTTTTTTTTCGAATTTAAAAAAAATAGTATTTAAATTTTTACAGATAATGTGTACGTTATTAAATCAAATTTTATTATAGAAGTAAATCGCGATGATTAATTATTAAAAATACTATATTTTAAAACTACTTCCACTAATATTGTCATTAAAATATCTAAATTAGTTATTGACTTTGTAATAGAGAGAGGCATTTGTAATAATGCTGAAAAAATTTACTATTCTTCTGATGGTGCGCCACAACAATTTAAAAATTACAAGAACCTTATCAACCTTTATTACCATAAATGTGATTTTGGAATTGTGTGCATCCGTATATCCAGACAGTAGCAGTGATTATAACAAGAATTCTTGTTATAATCACTGGTCAAACTTACTTAAAGCCTATCTTTGAAGAGCTGTATCTCGAATGGACGAATTTTTGGGACTTAACCGTCATTGATACTTTTGCAGTTGAATTTGCTGATATAAAATAAGTGTTATAAAATTTTATTGATTTCTTTCCTTGGAAAAGAAATTCTTTCAATTTTTTCTCCATTTTGCGGTGGACCAATTTCCAGTGCCGCGCAGAAGTGTATTTTTAAATCATTTTCGAACTGTCCTTTTCGATTTTTTTTTACAAAATTGTAGGTATTTATAAGAGTTCCTGTACACTCAAAATTTTTTTTTTGGATAAGTTCTTAATCGCCCTGTATGTAATCTCTTCATCATATCATAATTATAGTAATCATTCATATTGTAGCAATGCAATTATTATTTAGTATTAATTATTTAAGTACAAAAAATACGTTTACTTATTTCATATTATCTTTAGGGCAATCTTGAACATTACATAAAATAACATTGGTTTATTTATAATTTCAATAAATTAAATTTCAAAAGAATATTTAAAAAGTTATATTTAGAAAACGTTGTTGTTTTTTGTTTAGTGGGTACGTAATGGCTAGCGATTTACGAAAAATCAATTCATTTTGTAATCAGTTTTTGTGATTTTTTAGAAAAAACATTACTTATTATTTACTAAATTTTCCATTGCAAATATTAAATAAATTACATCTCCATTTCCAATCATTCAACTGAATGTAATATTCTGTAATATTCAACAAAAACTCAAACTTAACGTTGTCCATTACTAACCTCGAATTTTTGTTTTCATAATAAAAGGTAAAATAGGCACCCTTGATCAGGACGGCGACGGTGACGGCGACGTATAAGTTATACGGGAAATTCCGAACACGTTTATCTGTTAACAAACCAGTAAAGTTTAATGCTTTTCCTTTATTATATGACGAACTGGTGGGCGCTACTTCTGCCGGCGCGTTTGGTAGATTGAAATAGGGAATTCCGAGATTTAACTAGAATCATAAAGCAAATCAAAGATTACACAGGCCGACAAAAAAAATTTAGTTTTAGAGACGTGACCCTATCTTTAGTAAACTTTTTCGCGTCGGGTAGATTGGATGGCCAGTTTGGATTTTTTGAATTTTTGGGGGAAATTGAGAAGGTGTGGGGGGAATCCATACGTCAGAACATTATTTTTATCATTTTCGGATTCAGCGGAAAATTTTACTAAAGATAGGTAGGGTAGGGTAGGTATATAAAATTTAAAAAAATGCCAGTCTGTGTATTAACTTTTTCATCACACACACACATACACACACACACACACGCACAGGCACACGCACGCACGCACGCACACGCACGCACGCACGCACGCACACACATTTAATTATCCTGGCAAGTTGAAACGACACGGTTAGGCCACATAAAAGAATGACGCCTGTATAAAACTGCTTTCCCTTTTATTTAAAAGTCATCACTATGAGATTTATACGTGATTGCTGGGAACGTCTCAATTCTAACGAAAATTCCATGAACGTGTGGCCAAAACGTGTGGTGTTATTTGCCATGTCACAAATTACGTGTAAACTTTAAAGTAATATCCTAAAGTATAATTAAAAAAAAATTATAAAGCATCCTGTAAATCCACTAGTGAGTGCACTTGTTATTGTACACTCCCCTCCAGAAGAAAGAGCACGTCATCATATCGACGTAGGTTCTAAGCGATAATCAGTATAGTCTACAAACACATTTTTTCCTGCGATTTAAAAGATGCATAATTTCCGAAGTGCTTTCACCTCGAAAGTATGATGTGTGGTCAGCTAAAAACCTCAACGGTTTTACCAGGGTTTATGGTAGGATAGCATTCTTCTGCCACTAACTAAATATGAGGCATTCCATTCCATGCCAAATCACTGAGGTCATGACCGGTCCATTTTTAATTTTCTTGATTTTTTGGTATTGCTTATTACCTATTTAGAATAGTTTTTAAATTTTTTTTCAAATTTGTATTTCAACCCCTCAAGAAATTATAAGCATTTGAATATTTTGGGTAAAATATTTTCAAATCCTGTAACTACAACTAAAAATATTAACTCTTTTTTTCATTTTGTTCGTTTTGAGATGTAATTTTATAAAAACAAATATAAAAATAATACATTTTTATTTTTTTATTTCTAAACCAAAAAAGTGCTTTTTGAAAAAGTGTAGCTTTTTTTTCTTCACAAAAAATCGTCTTTCAATATGCTTTATGAGATAGATTTTGATTGTGAACTTTTTCCCGAATTAATTTTTTTTTCGTATTTTAATATTTTAGTTAATGTACGTTATTAAACTAAATTTTATTATAGAAGTAGATCGCGATGACTAATTACAAAAAATANTATTTTATTTTTTACAGATAATGTACGCTATTAAACCAAACTTTATTATAGAAGTTCATCGCGATGATTAATTACTAAAAATACCGTATATTTTAAACTACTTCTACTAATACTGCCATTACTAAATATCTAAATTATTATTAATTAAATATTCCGATTTTCAAATTAAAGGTTTGCTCTGCATAATATCAATACTTGTTAAATTTTTGACCAATTGTATTTAGTAAACACATTTATATGTATATATATAGGTTAACGTCGAAATAGAAAAAATCAATTTCTAGAACACTTGATGAATTTTATTTTTTGTATTGTTCCATTAATCCATTAAATATTCCTGCTAGTCAGCCAAATGCCACTTCGAAGTGCCATTTGACACCTGTAGTCGTCTCTTAACGAGTACTTTATACAGGGTGACAAGTTCCTCATGGGAAAATAATGTGACGTTTTTTTCTTAGACGCCCTGTTTTTGAGATACAGTGTGTTGAAGTTGTTACTTTGTAAATGGTTTTCCTTAATTATCTTTAAATCGGCTAAAGATAAAAATGTCAAAATTTGTACACGAATAAACATCACTGTGTGATAAGAGTAATGTGCAAACGGTTTCTTTCTGAAAAGTAGTGTTGCTGATACAGGTAATTAGAAGGGTACAATCGAAAAAAAAACGGTTTTGTAAACTTTAAAGCATACACTATAAAAAAAGGTATACTTATCGAAATTCGGTATACACTTATTAGGGAAAAAAATGGGTCATCGGTAAACTGATGATGTTCACTTAATTTAAATAAGGAAAATAATAATATAATAAATGTTAATATTGTTGTACCAAACCAAATACAAATGGTCAAAAATATAACAAGTATTATGGCAATATGCAAAACAAATATTTTAATAGTGAAAACAAAAAATTCGGAATATTTAGTTAATAATAATTTAGATATTTAGTAATGACAATATTAGTAGTAGTTTTAAAAATAAGGTATTTTTGGTATAATAGCGTACATTATCTGTAAATACACTTCATTTAATTCTCTAATTAAGACTAGAAACTGTCCCATAAATTTACACATTGAAAGACGATTTTTTGAGAATTTTTCTACAGCGCCACTTTTTTTTTAAAAAAGCACCTGTTTGGTTTAAAAAACAAAAAACATCTCAAAAAACTAAAAATGTATCTTTTTTATATTATTTTTTATAAAACTACATCTCAAAACAAGCAAAATGAAAAAAAAAGTTTGTGATATCCTTAGTTTTTGCCAAGTTACAGGTATTTGAAAACTTTTTACCCAAAATGCTCATAACTTTTTGCGTTCAAATAAAAATTTGAAAAAATTCATGAAATCTACTCTAAATGGATAGTAAATAATACCAGAAAATCAGGAAAATTAAAAATGGTCCGGTCACGATCTCAGTGATTTGGCATGGAATGCCTAATACGTATAGACAAATATGACATATGTATGAGGAATGAATTTTAGATATATTTTGTGGAATGGAAATATACAATTGTATTTTCATACATTCCCTTTATTTCGATTTGGAATACATTAATAATTATAAAAGACCACATGATCCAACTATTAAAGGATCATACAGTCAATGGTTTATATATATAAATTTATTTATGGTTTTAATTTCAAGGATGCAACTGAAAAATCTCACTTGTAATATACAGGGTGTTCCAATTAAAACTTCTCACCTGGATAATATCGCAATTATGTAAAAAAAAAAACACAAAAAAAACGTCGAATTTCTTTTCAAGAGGGACACGTGATGGCGTAAATTTTTGTGTCTTGGAAGCTACCCCTTAGACAGGGTCGTAAAATACCCTTAAACTTTAAATGGCACCCTGTTGTTGTTGAGTGGGACCTCATTTTAACATTTCTTTTTCAATTCTGCTTACGACGACATACATTTTTAATTTTGGTTTGGATTTTTAATGATCGTCATCCTGACAAAAACAATTCGCATCGATACGTCCTGGATTTAGTGCATAAATATTCGGAAATTGAATCGGTTGCAAAAAGAAAGCATCAACCTGAACAGGTCGTATGTAATGAGGGTAATCAGGGCAATAAAACCAAATTTGAGTTTCAGGAAATTTGCAAGTAGGTACTTCTGTACCTAGTTGCTGCCGAATCTTAAAAATTCATAAGTGTCGCCAATATAAAATTAATTTGGTACGAGAAATTAATGAAGACGATCCGAACCACCGCTTGCAGCTCTCTGAAAAAATGAGTGATCGTTCTTGAAGGAATCCAAATTTATTATACTCAATCTGTTTTATACCACCATTATTTTATACCATAATTATCGCTACTGGAGTGATGAAAATCCGGGCATTTTTCATGAAACTCATACGCAGCATCGGAGGAAATTGAATGTTTGGACGGGCATACTGGGAGACCACCTTTCTTTCTTTCTTCCTACCGGGAAATCTAGATGGAAATATGTATCTGAATCTACTGGAAACGAATATCTACGCAATTATTGTGGAAATATTGGAAAATAACGCTTTACCAGAAGAGGATGTGTGGCTTCAGCAGGATGGTAATCCACCACATTATGCCGTAGCTGTGTGTGATTTTCTTAATCAGAGCTTTCCAAATCACTGGATATAGGACGTAGAGGTTCAATTGAGTGGCCTCCTAGATCGCCAGATCTAACGGCCTTGGACTGTTTTCTATGGGGACACTTAAAGTCGAAAATGTATATAACACAACTGAACTCACTTGAGGAACTTCGTCGGCGAATTGTTGAGCAATGTCCTCAGATAACGCCCGAAATGCTTCGAAATATTCCTTCAGAAGTGGACCAAAGATTTTCATTGTATGGAAGCGGAGGGAAAAGGGAAACCAATTTGAACAATTAATGAAATAACATTCTTTTATTCATTAATATTTTGTCTTATAATTTAAGTGATAATTTTATTGTCATATTCAAACCAAAATTTAAAGTCATATGTCATCGTCAGTGAAAATGATGAACACAGGATATCATTTAAAGTATAAGGGTATTTTACACCCCTGCCTAAGGGGTAGCTCCCAAGACAACAAAACTTACACCATTACGTGCCCCCCTTGAAAAGAAAATCGAATTGTCATTAGGTTTTTTTGCTTTTTTTTTAATTCCGATATTCCCAGGTAGCAAATTGTAATTGAAACACCCTGTATTTTTATTAATTACACAAAAACACTAAAATATTTTACATTTTGAAAGCAGGGCCAGAGAAAGGAGTGGCATAGTGACGCAGATGTTTCAGGCGGTTTTTTTTAAGGGCATTATTTTAACCCATGATAATTTTTAGGTAGCTATACGCATTAAGACTTGACAATCGCCTATTCCCAAATAGTACAAATTTGATCTGATATTCTTTTGATACACCACCCTATTCCAAGGACGTCCGGTTATGGCCTTTAGCTAGCTACAGGATATCTTGCAGATTTACATTCGTATGTACTCTACATACTCGTGTACCGACTACGAGACAGTTGGTTATCTGAATATTACGGCATATATGGAGGGTGTTTCGCATAAGAACCGACACAGAGCAGGGGCATGTAGGGGCACCCAAAATATGGTGTTTAACTCAACTTACCTTCATACTAAGCTGCACCCTTGAGAAGTTGTAGGTCTTGAAAATGGGGTTTGAAATTAAAAAAAAAATCAATATCTCAGTTATATTTATATATTCGTGTTTTTGTTGAAAATGACAATGTTTTTTGAAAACTAACAAGAGTAAGAAAAGTTTTAGAATTAAGTTCCCCAAGACCATCATCGGGTTAAAAAATTCTGTCACATTTTAATGGTGCATCATCTCTTATCAACCCTTTAAAATGCTTCAATTGAACTGTCGATTAATGCTCTTGTTACACTCACACCGTGTACGAAATATGCTTTTTCGAATTTCAAGTAATGATTTTTTTCGAAATT